CACTGTTTCGGTGAGTTTTCCAGCCAATAAATAAATCGTTCATCAAACAAAAGATCAAACCTTCATGAATAATGACCAGATAGTAAACATGGACTTTGAATATGTAGAAGTACCTGTGAGTTAATTTTGGTGAGTTTAAGTGGCAGAATATATCTTACTAATGGAATAAGCCACCTTCATCTTATATTCACAGAATCATGAAGGGCCTGTGGGTGGTCAATTATATTTTTCCAGTTATAGTTTAATGCAGTGGTTGAAAATCTTCTACTTGGTAGTGGAGCACTCTCTTCTATTAACTCCGACATGTAAAACAGATGGGAGCAGAACTACTCTGCAAGAAGCGAGGGGAGGGGACTTCATGACATAGCAAGACTTCCCCTCTCGGTACTAAGGCACCCGTGTGGGATCTCTTGCCTTCCACACTTAGAGAGGTTCATTTTAGTCTGATTAATATTCATGTTCCCAGTGTCTGGCACTAATGAATATTGAGTTTTAGTGAATGGATGAATGTGTAGATTATTGAGTATACGGATGGATGGATGGATGGATGGATGGATGGATGGATGGATGGATGAGTGAATGGATACTGAGTAGATGCCTAGGTAGATAAATACGTGGGAGACTGGCTGATTGGATGAGTGAATTTATGGAGGACTGATTGATAGGAGTGTGATTTCACATTCCAATCCTCCTTTCTACTATAATCTGTGCCAATCATAATGCCACAAATGGCCAAGTGAAAGGTGTCAGCCGATCTTGATATGACACGAGCCGATTTCTTATACAGATGCATTCCTATCATAAGAAGAGTCCTGAACACCAAGTAGCCTTTACCTCACCCCCATCATCCCAATGTTCTGCTGCCATCATGGTGACATCCCACATCTTCACCTCAAGAGCACCTCCTGCTTTCCTGAACTCTGTTAGGACCTCACCCCTCTGTGCTCCTGCCCATGCTCCTTCCTCCATCCCCTGATCTTGTCCTGCTGGTTTGTCCTTCAAGATCCAGCCCCTTCTGGTAGATGTCCCTGACCCATCCCCAGCACTCTGACATCTTTTTATCACAGTCTCCTGGTGACCAGAGAATCCATACCAGCAAGTGGGCTGAGAGGTCACCCAAAAAAGCAGGGGAGGAGATTCAGAAGTACCTAAGCGAGTAAGCCTGCCCTGCCATGTCCCCTGCTCCAGCCCTTCTCCATATTCCTGTTGGGAGGCCGGGACCAGCCAATGGTGAGCAGAGGGAATATAGTGCCTGAATCCTGTTCCCCATATTCCCTCATCCTGGCACTTTCAAGAGTGGAAGAAGATGTGCACTGCTAAGGCTAGACTTGTCGGGGAAGTGACGAATATCTTCAGAATTTTTTGTGACAGGAGCCATCAGTCATATCTGAGTCCCTGCCCCCTTTTCTCCCTCTAGCCAGCATCTCAGAGACAGAGGGCAGGACTGGAGGTCTAAAGATGTTGCCCTCCCTTCGTCAGTAGCTTCAGGCTACAAACAGCATTTCTTTGTACCCAGAGTGTGGAGCTGCCTGCATGCTATACTCGGGACTTGCTAGTGATAGGCTGCCTCAGTTTTCCTGTCATGCATGTTCCCCAGGTTC